TCATTTATTTCAGATACAGCTAATATTTGGAACTCACTACCTACTGAATACACTACTGCAAGTAGTTTATGGAGTTTTAAATGTTTTATAAAAAGCTATGATAAGAATGGTATATACTTTGATGTAAATTATGGATCAAGATTCTGTCAGGTTATACATTCCCGTCTCAGGCTTGGCTGCAGCCATATTAACGCCGACAAATTTGCCAGATTTATATCCGACAGCCGGAGATATTGTTGTGGCTATCACACGGAAGATGCAGTTTATTTCTATCTTACCTGTCCCATAAACAGTACATCAGGGCAAAATATGTATTATTTCGTAAAAGGCTACGATTTAAATTCATACTTTAATGGTAATTCACATTTAACGTCTATAACAAATTTTGAAAATCAGTGCTTAGTTATATTCTGTCTTCTTGCCGATTTAGATATTTTGTCTGAGAATTTTTTCAAAAACAATGTTGGCCCAGCCATGTGATACTAGGAAAATGTTGTGTTGGATGTAAATAATAACGTGGCTGTAGTTACGAAAGAAACAATAATTATCAAGTTACTTGAATATAAATTATATAATGTATGCTATTTCTCATGTCACTTTCAATACATTGTAATGTGGATATGTATCATATTTGGGAGAGGCATTCAGATAAGCAACATTTGCTTGTTTGCCAATCCCCTCACTTTATGAAATTAAATATGTTTACATCATGTTAGGTGTATTAGTGGATGCTTTAACAAAACTCTTTCTTCCATAATTCCTTATTGGAATGTCTACTTTCAGATACGTTTTTTACGACACTATATCTTTTTTCCCATCTTTTTCTTTTGTCTTGACAACGGTATAAGGATCTATACGGAAACGTTGCCTTTACAGTATTAAAGAATTTGTTATCCACACATTGTGTTTACCTTGTCATCCGTCAACTTCTAAGTAATGCCTATCAACTTACTTACTTACTTTGGAGATTTAACGTGCGCTTTCCGACTGATGCGTATTTCGCACACGGGCCCGGCCAGGCCATTTAATGTGTTTCCGAAAGGGGCGAAAGTGGTCTGTGCAACCCAAGAGGGGGGTTTTAGGGGTTGCTTATATAGAATTTGGGAATTTTGAGATTTGGAATAGATGCCGATGGGATTGGGGAGGAGAACTAAGGGAGCTGGGTATGGTGGATGTTTGTTTGTTTATGTGATTTTGATTTGGTAGGTTATTGTGTTTATAGATGCGTTTTATTAGTTCCGTTTTTATTAAGAATACGCCTAAGGCCTTGAAGTTTTCTAGTTTATTTTTTGGGTTTAGTATTGCTTCTAGAGTTAGAGCCTTGTTTAGATTGAGGGTGGTTTGTAATGCGGTTCGATGTGTTAGGTAGTGTGTGCAGTGGATGAGTGCGTGTTCTGGGGTTTCTGGTTGTTTGCAGTATGGGCAGTTACCTGTAGTGTGTTTTTTAAAAAAATTTAGGTGGTTATTTAGGTTGGTGTGTCCTGTTTGGAGTTTAGTGATTACTCTGTCGATTTTTTGGGATGGATGGAGAATTTTTGGTTTGGTTAGTGGTTTGCTGAGCACTTTTTTGATTTGGCTATTTGAGTTTAGATATAGGTTATACCATTTATTTGTGATTTTTTGCTTGTTTACACTTTTAATTTCTGATTTTGAGATGGGTAAGTTTAAGCTTATTTCTGGGATTTTGAGGGATAGTTTAGCTGCTTTATCGGCGTTTTCATTACCGTATATTCCTACGTGGGCGGGTATCCACAAGAAGGTTATTTGTTAGCCTGCCTTAGTTAGGTCGTTGGAGCTTTTAAGTATTTGATTTATTAATTTAGGTCGGTTTTTGGTATTTTTGTTTTGGAGGGCTTGCAGTCCACTTAGGGAGTCGGTAAGTATTAGGATTTTTTTTGTGTTTTTTGGATTCTTGATTATGGAGGGCTGAGGCCATGCCCATTAGTTCTGCCGTGAATATTGATTGGTTGTTTGGGAGTCGGAAGGATTGTGTGGTTTTAGTTGGTTGTGTGGTATGGACTCCGAAACCTGTGTGTTTGGAGGTCGGATCTGAGGATCCGTCCGTGTAAATGTGACACCAATTTGGCCAATTTTCGTGTCCGTATGCTAGTGTGGTAGTTTTAGCTATGTTTGGGTCGGTTTGTTTATTTATTTGGCTAGCTAGTGTTGTGTCTATTTTGGGTATTTTAAGTTTAGGGGTGAAGATATTTGATTGTTTGCAGTTTTGTTTAAGATTTTTAATTTGGTGTTCATTTAGGTAGTTTGTTATTCTTTGGGATATTGGGGTAAGTAAGGGGTGTTTACGAGCTAGAGCTTGGTTTTTGCGGCTGATGTTTTGGTTTATTAAGTTTTCGATGAGAGGGTTTGATTGGGACGCAGCCCAGAAATTTAAGCTTAGCTGTTCCCTGCGTAGACTTAGTGGCATTTCTCCTGTTAAGGCCTGAAGTGAGGTGTAGGAGGTGCCATGTTGGGTGCGTGTAATTAGTTTGAGAGCCTGATATTGTATTGAGTCAAGTTTTTTAGATAGAGAGTTGTCTAGGGTGTTGTATATGGCGCAGCCGTAGTCTAGTTTTGATCTAATTAGTGATATGTAGAGAGAGAGGAGGGTATCTTTGGATGCTCCCCAGTTAGAGCCAGTTAGGCATCTTAGGGTGTTTAGGTCTTTACTGCATTTAGTTGTTAGGTTTTGGATGTGAGCATCCCAGGTGAGATGTTCATCGAAAATAAGTCCTAAGAATTTGGCTTGTTTTTGAAATTTGATTGTTTGGTTGTTTAGCTGGAGGATTGGGGAGGCGGGTTTCATGTTTTTTTATGTTTGAATACTATTCCTGTTGTTTTTTTCTGAGTTAAGGGAGAAGCCCCATTTGTCAGCCCATTGTTGTATTTTGTTAAGAGATTTTTGGAGTAAATTTTGGACCATGTTCATGCTTTTAGTGCGGATCCAGATGGCTCCATCATCCGCGAATTTTAATGTGTTTACTTTAGGGGATAGGCCCTCGAATAGATCGTTTATCATTATATTGAAGAGGGTGGGGCTGAGGATACTGCCCTGTGGAGTACCATTTTCTAGGGGACATTGGTCCGATAGAGTTTGGTCTATACCCACGGTTATTTTACGATTGTTTAGGAAGTCCTGGATGTAGTTTATTATCTGACCTTTGAGTCCTATTTTTTTAAGTTTTTGTTGCCTATCAAACAATTCAACCCGCTTATATTACAGGCTGATTCGTAGTCCCCATCACTGACACACAGGAAGTGATAGACGTTGAACGGATGTGGGGATCTGCATCTATGTGGACATGGTGCACTGTTTATTTATATACATTTCGGCTACAAACACAATGCACATGCATCTTTGTATTGTGTTTTAAAGATTCCCATAAAAGGAATATGAAAGGAATATCTCGGACTTTACCCATAGATGGCCATAAACTTCGTGATAGAACAAAATAAACCGCCGTTATTTTCTATTTCGAACCCGAAATTCAGACAAATACGGGTAACAGGAGACGGATGTGTATTTCAGTATCTGGCAGTTGATTGACAGCTATGTACAGATCATGTGTCTCTCTGATCGCTGATTGTCGCTTTGTTAAGGAACATAATCTACGTGATAGGCGGGCAATTCAAGCTAATTACGCTATACAGTGTCAATTACTGACCGGCTTGGTACGTGTGATAAACTGGAGCACAAACCTTTCCGTGTCGTCTTATTTGTTATCTTGGGGCATTTTATGCAAAGGAGAGGTACATCATTTTATGACCACAAGCTGACAACCAAATGCTGGATGAAATGAAATAACCATCGAGGCAGTTTGTGTTTGGTTGTGATGTGGAAATATATTAACTAAAGATTTAGTTATAAGGTTACATTCCCTTTACATTTAGTATAGATCCGATCAACAACACGCATTATTATTCATAATACTTTGAAAATGATGTGAGTGGGGGCGATACCCTGCCTCACCCTACACACTCGAAATAAGCGTTAATGAAAACTGATTCCTGTACATATGGGAACAATAATATGCTATTGTTATATGCTTTTAGACGTTCAGTATGGTACGTATTGTTGGCCCTCGGCTATATGGTGATAAAATAAGGACTGGTCGGTTCGGAGTCAAAATACTTTGTCTAAATATCGGTACGTCGTAGGGCTAGCACTATGAAACCGGCATTAGTCATATATATAGACATTTTAGACATATATATATATAAGGATCAAATAACAATCTTTCCTTTCCTTGCAAACCGGACAGTAACATTGATATCGTCCTGATTAACATGATTAACGATTAACATGGATATTGCACAATAATGAATCATATATGATACATATAGACGTTTCGTAAAGTAAACGTCAGGAAAGTTTGGTTTACAATCTAACCTGGTTTCGCTCTTCACCAATTTCAGTATCGCAAAAGTGGCTAAATCTTTAACAAGAAAGCGGCTATATATGTTATTGCTTCTTACTTCTTTTGTTGCCGTTATGTGACAACCGAGGTGCTGTATTATCTGCTATAGTCATGTTTTGGCAAAGATATTAGCACCAAATTGTAAATACTGTTATTTCTTCGTCTTAAGTTTCATTTTTAACAAGCGCTTTCACTGGAGCCGACGCCGTGACCAGGGTGTCTGACACACATGACTATCCAAAGAAGCTGATTCAATTGTCTGTGTAAACGCGCAAGAATAATAAACATTAATTTGATTTCGTCCTGGCAGCGACATCGCGTGTTATAACATTATAATTAGATCTCATGACTACTTAATCTGTGGGTAATTGCTATGATAGAGTGAGAAAAACAAACAACTCACACCGTGTCACAATCAACTGACCATGACAGCTATCACCCAACCTTGACCCCACCAGCTCACACCTGATTGGTGTGTCTCCGCTTACCTCTTTATAAGGAGGGGCGCAAATCTACCTTCGTACCTACAATACATCTTCCAACGCCAACCTTTGCAGTTTGATCTCACTGAATCAGAAAACAAGCATGAAGCATGATGTAATTGACAAACATGTTTATTGTGCCGTTATGGGGGACAGTCACATCGGAAAGAGTAGCATCTCTCGCAGTTACGAAAGAGGATCCATTGATGCTCAGCATCAACCGACATTGTTTGAGAATTACGTTGTACGCCATAACATGGTTGGGAGGGAATTCCTCATCAGCATGTTTGACACTGCCGCGCAGGTAACTTACAGTTTGAATTGTTTCATGAGTGTGAGAAGGAGACACTTCAAAGAATTTGTCGGTCATATTTTATATGTGTAAGCATGTTGTATATGTTTATCACTTCTAGAAAACGCATAAGTACGAATATAGTGCCGACAAGACAAATTTAGGGAGAATCTCACATTCTAACCCAAGATCAGCGCTGGGCCATCTATTTTTATTATCATGGTGAACTTTATGTACATGATAATTATTACACATGATTAAAACGATTTCTCCCTTCTTGTGCAGAATACCTGATAAAAATGAACTGCTGGGAAAGTATTCATTTATACGGCACCATATCCACTGTCCCACTTTGTATCCATGTGGAGATTAAACCCTATTTTCCCTAACATGCTAAACTGACGGGCATAAGGAAGTGTACACCCACGTGTGATGGACGTTAAACATTCAGCAATGATGTATTTGACACGAAACGCTAGTTTTGGATCTTAGATTTGGAGTGTTGCGGCGACCAAGTAATATTTCGATAAATGTTCCATGTATACTTTCTTTTGAAACTTAACTAGAACTATAACGTCGAGATCAACGGGGTAATATTATCATCTCAATGCCAACTATTTCCGTGACACGGTAACGATTTGAAGGCATCGCTGACATTAATGTTTATTTTTCAGAAAAACTTTGAGAATCTCCGTTCCTTCACATACCGTGAGAGTGAAGTCCTGGTCCTCTGTTTCTCCACCTGTGACCGGGAAACGTTGGTCAGCATCAATGACGTGTGGATGCCTGAACTGAAGAGACACTCCAAACACACCAAACAGAAGAGACCGGTCATCCTCGTGGGCACCAAGATAGACCTCCGAGTCGGGAATGAAGACAGCGAGGTTTCCACGGACGAGGGTTTCCAGTTGGCCAAGGACATTGGTGCTGACTGCTATGTGGAGTGCTCGGCTCGCGACCACAAGGGCTTAAAGGAGGTCTTTCAGCATGTCGTCTTCTCCGCTCTTAAGTTCAGGAAAAAGAAAACCAACATTATCAAGAAGATCTTCAGACGCAGAAGCACGATTTAAATGTACCACTAGCTTATCTCCAGAATACGTAGGAACTGCTTGTCACAATATTCAGCTTCGTTGTGAATATATGCATGCAAAGAAAATCGTCGAAGTAGTGGTTTTGAGATAAGTGCTACCGTAGCGTGCTTGATGACTTGTTTGTATCCAGAGTACCAGGATACGCTTCTTGAAAGTTACTTTTAGGAAAGTATTCATACAGATTCATAGTGACAATTTCCTTACAGATGATTTGTTAATCATAGTAGACTATTTTACTCGACACCGTCCTGACCTCGTCTCACTGGCCAAAGAACATTTCATGGATGTAAAACGCTCCAGACCGTTTTGGAAATACGACTCGAGTAATATTGGCGTATTACTGTCACATGAAATAAGTGCTTCAAAATGCTGGCTCAGCGAGGCCAGTCACTGCTGAGATTTTTATGTGAAGTTTTACAGTTGTGTGCAATAAGAGTTTATTTACATTGTTGAATAAAAAATGGAATTTAAAATAGTTATTTTGGGGCAAGTGTGAGTACCAACTGTGGCTGGATGCCGTATGCGATGATCACGGTGTTTCTACATGGGGCATTGAAAAAGACACAGAAATATTTAACTGTACTAGAGCATATCTATATGATCTTAGCGTTAAGTTAATCGTAACTCCCATACTTTAACATAGGCTTACGATCATCGATCCCTATGTGGATCGGGCCCTGGACTTTATCCCAGGACTGTCTATGTTAAACTAGTTACAACATTCATAGCGATACTTTACCTTTGTGAAATCAATCTAAGACGAATGTTTTAACCGAGTTGCCCTGTGACCGTTTTTAAGGGGTTGAAGTGTGCAAACGTCTTGGCTGGTACATTTGTCGCATCAACGTTGGATCACGAATGCCCTTCAGTGCTTATATCGAATTGCGACACATGCAAACCACAGCACTGCCATAGAAATTCCTACTAAACTATTTTACTTTGCGTAAGTTTCGATGGCTAGTTCACGTTTGCATTGAGACGTTCTTGTTGAAAAAGGTTGGGTACTCTACCGTCAAATGACGAAGGGGTTCGACCCCTGGTGTGTGGCGTGATTAACCCTACGTGTCATTGTGTATGAGTAAAATTGACTCCGACAGAGCAAGAGCTTATTTCCAAATATTGCATTTGACGAGTAACGGACATTTCTCTCAACCATGACGAAAACCTTTGCACATACGTCTTGGAGGGAGTGAGTTGGGTTGAACGCCGCTTTTCACAGTATGTCACGGGAAAAGCCCAAAGTGATGCATGTCTCACGTCTACCACTTTGGTAGGGGTATGGTATGGTGCTGACAAACAAGAAGAATCGGTGCGATCCGGGATTCAAACCCACGGTCATAGGTTTCTTGCGCTCCAAGGTTCGCAACTCTGCACAGCGAATTTCAGCGGCCAACCGTGGCCTCCCTCTAGGAGTTGGAGGGGCTTGAAGGCATGGAATGTTGTAACGACGTTTCCGTGCTACTTCTTGCAACAAGTAGCGCAATACTTAAATAAATCAAACTGCTTTCCCGGAAACCAACAAAGAGTAATCTAGTGATTCCTTGTAATGATTTGAGAAGAAATAAATACTCTTTAATTTGTTCGCATAACAAGGGCAGTAGCTTTCGTGAACTGTTGTTCTGTTTCTTTCAGCCAACTTAATTTGCTTCCGGATAAAAATAGAATGGGGGGAACAATCGATCTTAAGCATATTTGTTTGCAATAACAGGCCCTGCAATTTCAATCTGTATGGCTTCTTAAGGTACACAGTCAAGGAAACAAAGTTCATTCCTCGCTTTACAGCTGATTATCTGACGTAGATGTCACACTGGCATTTTCACAGTTTCTATTTATGACCCGCTAGGAACAAACAAACAAAGTTTAATTTTGGCTCGCCTCTTGTGTTCTAATGTCAAAGCCCGTGCACGGGACGACAACAACCATTAATGACAAACGGTCGTCCTTGGAGAAGTCCGTGACCCACCGACAGTATGTCCATATGTCCCCTCGGGCACAGTCACAATTTACAATGACGTCATTCGACAGCTTGTGGCGTCACAAATCGTTTGAGGCATTTCATCCAACTGTGCCTCAGAAGCACGTGCCATTCCGCCGCTGGCGCCACGCTGCCTGGACAGTACCACGCACCGGATCAGGTATATCAGAAGGTACAGTCTCTTGTTTTTTAATGATAAACTGTATATGGCACATGCAAGGATTGTAGACAATATATATATATATGACATTTCTCATTAAAATATATTTAGAGACTAGCTTGTTAAAAGAGACATTCTCCGGGGTGACTTATTCCAGTCTACAATTTGCTTTCTGCCATTTCAATTAGATGTGCAAAGATCTGTGGATGCACCTCATCTGTCCATGTTCCCATAGCAACACAGTTATGACAAGTACAATCAGCACTAGTTATTACACTACACTGTCGACAGATCCGACAGATGTAACGGAATTCAAAACGTCTGCGCCAGATAATAATCAGTCACGCCTGCCGGAACATTCCACTGGGCGTACACGGCAAAACAGTGATGCAAATATTCCAAAAATATGGATCACGGAAAATCGGTTATGACACCAGGTGTTCGAGAAATAAATAAATAATGGTAATGACATCATTCACTTTTATCATGTCATTTGAATAGGCGTATGGGCATGCATGACACCAGGTGTTCGAGAAATAAATAAATAATGGTAATGACATCATTCACTTTTATCATGTCATTTGAATAGGCGTATGGGCATGCATTCGATTGTATATACTTGTATATCATAGCTATAGCCTAGACACACTCCATGGCAATCGGATGATTAAAATATCATTTTGAAGAGTGCTAGGAAATCTACAATGTGGGAAGGTTACGGTACTTCAGCACACCGTGGAAATACCACTGCAATTGTTTGTTTATGATAATCGCAATAGTTGTAAAATAATTCCAATAGTTTTGCAACATGTTTATTACAACTATTGCATAGTCACGCTGTTACCTCGGGCATTGGTCGACACGAATGCCAGTCGCGACCACACTGAATACTATTTCTTCCTTATTGTATTTCACGATAATTAAATATACAAACAGTTGTATTTGGGGGCAAATATATCACAACAAATACATCCTCTGCTTCTGACCAGAACACAGAAAGTAGGGAAGTCATAAAAAAATGCTGTGTTTACTGTTCTAAATTACAGTCCTTAAAAAGCCTCCATGACCTACATAAATAAAGTAGGAATCTCGGTACACCTAGACTCCTTCAATCAAATGCCTCTCACACAATTATGTTGTGTCGCTAATGACATTGTCAGCTGATTCTCCGTAGTAATTGTAGCGGTAGTTGTAATGTTCCTCAATGAATAGTTTCACAATAATTAAGGTGCAGCATCCATACCATTGCACTGAATGGCGATGACCCAAGGCCACGGAGAAAAGAGGTCACACGAGCACTGAGATGTAGGTCTACGCAGACCCTTGAGCTGGCATCACAGACACTGCCGCGGGGATTCCAGGGAGCTCTACTGGTTCTCGAGGACTCTTCACTGCCAGGCTATCCACGGAGGAAGGAGGACCAAATACTTGACATAGAAATGGTATTTGGGATTTCAAAGTTTAATAAATCATATTTTGAACATGAGAATGTTTATCGATGTTATTAGCCGTTTTCTATTTTCGGTCATATAAAGGACAGTATATCGCATATGCATCGGCTCTTTGTTATCCCCCTTCTTTATTTCTCAACCGTAATAGTCCAAGTTTCAAAATGTAAGTAGCCAAACCAAGGAGAAACCACTTAGCGGAGTGGCATTTCTAGCAGACACGTGTTGTCAATTTTATCTATGTAGTAGCTTTTAGAATACAAAGACAATGTAAATGTTTCATAAACCTTGCGCTTCAGTGTGGTTAACGAGGCATCTTGTTGGCTTACTGTCGAAAAGAACTTTTATCTACTCTCGATTCTGCATGAAATATCCAGGAAAGAAATAAGTTAAAATTGAAAATATAAAAGACAGCGCGATAAACGTGTTTCAACAAGTCGATTATTATTTAGTTAACCATGTTTGACATTAAGACTGACATTCATGTATGACGGTCTGTTTTCGGTACTCCACTCGCCGCTTTTCTCCGTGGGCACAGTTCCCCGAGGCTGGAGGTAACCTTTCTACAACAGAGGGTACACTACTATTCAGAACTGACCACCTGCCTCCGTGGTCTAGTCGATGGAAAGTCTTCCCGTAGGGCGGCGGGTCGGCGGTTCCAACCCCGGCCGCGTCATAGCAAAATACGTTAAAAGATGGTATTTGTTGTTACACTGCCTGACGTCCGACATTAAGGGGCTAAGACAATATCTAGCCGGGTCAATATACTGTATCAGAGTGAGTTGTCTGTGTCAGCATGGGGCATGGTTGTCTCAGTGGGCAAGCACTATACAACCGACATTAGGTCTGACAAGCAGCCACAATAAGAGACACGTGCATGCACGTCGCCACATAAGTGCAATAATCTTGAATGCGACAGTAAACTTCATTTCCCCTCCCCTCATTATTCAAAACTAACGTTCTTTAACCAACTATCGAGTAATGAGGGGCGGTCGGGTAGCCTAGTGGTTGAAGCGTTCGCTCGTCACGCCGAAAACCCGGGTTCGATTCCCGACATGGGTAAAATGTGTGAAGCCCATTTCTGGTGTCCCCCGCCGTGATATTGCTGGAATATTGCTAAAAGCGGCGTAAAACCATACTCACTCACTCACTCGAGTAATGGGGTTCGTGTTTCGTTTGGATCCAAACCGCATTCCGATTACCTGTGCGTTAGCACTGTCATTTGTCTGCGTTTGGCATTGCGACCTGGCATTGTCATGTGTTCCGTTAGCATTGTGATCGAGGGGCAGTTAGTTTTGGTGTGTAGTGTACGCTTTGTACTTGAACTGAAGTACCAGTAAACGCCGACGGTCGAAATTCTCTTGGTTTCTTGGTGGTGAAAGTCTACATCTATAGTTTTATTTAGTACTCAACCCGTTTAGTCCTTACTTTCACCCCCTTAAAGACATCAATACCTTGACTACCCCGATTACCCCAGTTGGCATCCCAGTAGAACGATTTGTCAAGTGCGGCACAACACGTGGCCATCGAGCACGTTTCCGTCTTGGTTTAATGGGCCGTCTCTGTAATAAAAAGCAAAAAACACTTTCGATTTTCAAAAAAGTTATCTGCTGTAAGCACAATCGATTATACGAATCCTCTTCTATCACAAGCAGGTGTTTATGAATCACTATCAACATGCTATTTGTTATTTGCTTTATGCTGTAAAATTAGAAGTGCTAATTATACAAAGAGATAAGTGTTAGAAAAAAAACATTACTCGTTTGAGGATGTCCATCGACAATCAGACTAGATTTTATCATTGAAAAAAAACAAGCATGTAATATTTCAGTTTCATAAGTAAAGTTGTTTGAGAGAAGATGCTTTGAGGAAAAAATATATTTTAAAAACGTATGGGCATGTCGTATAGTATAGGCCAAACCTCAACATCAACCTGATCTGATCGGGGCACACCTCCAGCCTATCAACACAGTGTGATCACCTGATCCTCATCATTAGGTTTTTAAGACAAGCACGGGGTGCAGGGGACCAAAACATTTACAATGCACCTCTCCACAAAGTTATATTAGCGTTACGATTTACGTATGGTTTAGAATTACGTCAATCGTATCCTACGACCGCTTTGAGGAACTGGATCTCAAACAAATAGTCCCAATTAACCCCTAAAGTACATAAGATTGCGTGGCATGTGGTCTGAAGTGAAAACAGCGACTGATATCAAACACAATGTGACCCTGGGCGACATCATCACAGCTGAACGACCACAGAAGACAACATCATCAACAAAGTGAAACACACTGAAAACAGCGGCTCACCCGACTCCGATGATGAATTTAAGACTGAACCACCAATCGAATCTGAACTTCTCACACCATCTGAAACAGCTACGCAACTAGAAGCCATTCGACGGTTCTTTCCGAGTCGCCCTGGTGTATCACCGAAACTGTTTGATAACATTGATGACATTGTGACAACACTCGACCACATCCATCGTTCAAAGAATGGTCAAAGCAAAATCACAGATTTCCCGAAAGAAGGCAAGTGCCTCTTGTGTCTGTGTGTCATTGAAACCTGATTTTACTTATGTTATGTATGATGACTAAACATAGTACATGTGCAGTGCACACTTTGTCATTCATCGAGTAAAGTGATGTCACGTTACTTGACCCAGGGCGTCGGAGAGTCAAAATGCTTTTAACAAACTACGGTTATAACGAAATAAATTTAGTGGTCCATTTGAGTTCGTTATAACCATAATATATTTTATGAAAATATATGACGTCAACGCCAGAGAATAGCCAGTCTCGATTATCCGCCGGAACAGAATCCTTTAGGCGTAAAGGCGTAGTGGTGAAAATTATTTGAATAGATCTCTGAAAATCAGGGATGACACAGGTTTTTACGAAAATGGATGAGCATATCCTGCCATACCGGTAGCACTCGCCACTCGCACAAGTTGCATAAAAAAAGTAAATGTTTATTTGTTGTCCACCGTTGCACAGCAGTACTCCTGTCGTACGTCGGCAGCTCGTGAACAAGCCAGTGTCAGTCCAGAACAGCCACTGCCACGATAGCGTGTACTGATTTTGTTAAAACTAAATACGATATGTTAATTTCGAATTACGCCTACTGTTTACAAGAGCAGAGATGCCGTTTCTAATTAGTAAAGAAAGAACGTGAATAAAACTTGGGCAAGGCATGGGGCTATATGAGATTCTGTAAGCTATTAGGCAACTACCATAAATTGTGTAAATGGGTCACGTCATGCGTTAGCCAAATCGTGACTGAGGTTTTTGCGATTCTCGTCAAGTGATTTTTTTATTAAAGTTGATAATATAGGGTCTTTTATTAACACAGAATAATATCGATTTTGCAATTAAGGATTTCACATTCGTCAGAGAATCAGCTTGCTTGGTGGGTTTTTATTTCTCCTGGACTCAAAGGCAGCTTGAAGTTCCATGACCCGCCTTGGTGGTTTAGTGGGTAGAGCGCCTGTCTGCTGTCTGTCAGTCCGTCAAAGCACTAGACGTTATAAGCAAGCGTCCTCGTGCTTTAACAATAGTAGTTCAGGCAAAACTAGACTTTATTACACTACACATGGAGGTAGAGTAAACTTTATTTCTTAATTAGATAAGCTTGCTGTTGACACTGGCAGATATGAAATATTTATAATGAAATATATTGTGTGTGATGCAGGCTGAAGCTAGTTTTCCGTTGAAGATGAATTGCGCATCTTCAGATATCTTCTGTGTATGTGACTCTTACTCTGAATTGAGGAACATATTTTAGTAAATATCCCACAATGAATAATTATATTTCTATCCCGCAGAGAACTGATATAATCAGAAATGTCTCTGTATTTCTACATCATCTAAAGAGAACAAGAAAAAAGAAACACCAAATTGTAAATCTGATGTAAAATATGCATGCATGCATGCTCATGTGTGTGTATTTTGAGCCAGTGGCCATTTGCTGAATAAAACTGTCTGTCTATCACACACGGTCTTCCATGGGTGTATCCAGCCTAAAAAATAACGTATTGTCTATTGGGTTCTCGTAACCGGTTACAGCGTCTGCCTCTGGGTTTGTCTGGAGTAATTTTGCCAGTGTCTGGAGTTGCCAAGGTACCACGTTGTAAGCAGTGACTAGTAGGCTTTGTTCGATTCGGCCACTAACATGCAATTGACAAAACACTTTCAACATTTATTTAACTAATATATGTCCATATATGTTCAGTCATGTTGATGTTTTAACAGTTATGGATGGATGGATGGATGGGGTGAGGGGCGTGGGGGGTGGAGGGAAAGGGGTGGGGGTGGGGTAAAGGGGGTGGGGGGGGGGGGGGGGGGGGGTGGAGAGGGATAAGGGCTTTAAGGGGGTTTGGGCGCAATTAGCAGAGATGCCGTTTCTAATTAGTAAATAAAGAACTTGAATAAAACTTGGGCAAGGCATGGGGCTTTATGAGATGCAGTAACCTATTACGACCGCTGCCTTTTAATCGTATAACTGGGTCACGTCATACGTTTGCCAAATCCTGACTGAATGCGTTTCTAGTTGCTTTACCATAGGCAACTTGGAACATATCTATTATATTGGTGTGAATATTATTAATTGTCTGAGAATACTCTCTCGAGTATTGCTTACAAACTGATTCATTTATTCAATGTAAATCAGACCCGTGAAGATCTGTGGTAGAATAGGTCTTCAGCAACCCATGCTTGCCATAAAAGGCTACTATGCTTGTCGTAAGAGGCGACTAACGGGATCGGGTGGTCAGGCTCGCTGACTTGGTTGGTGCATGTCATCGATCCCAACTGCGTGGATCCATTGTCATGATATCAATCACTGGACTGGTCCAGACTCGATTATTTACAGACCGCCGTCATATAGCTGGAATATTGCTGAGTGCGGCGTTAAACAAGAAACCAAATAACCAATGTAAATCAAGACCACACGTTTCCAACTTCTGAATGATATCCAAACTGTTCTGCCAGATACGAAGTTCCTTTTGTTGTGATCCAGGTTGTTTAATTTGTCACAATCTCATTAATGATATTGAATTTGACTTGGTTGAAAGGATAAAAGAGTCCTGGTTCAGTATTGTTCCTCATTGGAGATATTCCAAAGCAAATTCAGCAATATTATAATATATAATATTATAATGTATAATATGTAAGAAATACCTTCCCTGGAGCCAACCTACCTAGTTGTTTTACTCGCTTTAGAACTTCTCAACGTCAGGCGCTCTGCCTTAGTGGAAATAAAATCGGTAATGAGATGCATTTTTGATTGGAATGTCCTAATTATGATAACTACTGTAAATGTCCTATCACTGGTTAAGTTTCTTTTTTAATGTCATGTGATTTCAAACCGATACTAGTTAATTAAACTGACAAACTATGTTAAAAAGGGTATGCGCATGCTCCGCCAGAAGGTGTAACTAGTGTACACCTTTCTTTGTATCACTGTTGTGATTTAAGAGGATAACTCTTCTTCTGTAAGCCAGATCACAGATCACTGGAATAACAGATTCGCATTGCAGTACTGTATCTTCATGGATGGCTTTTGGTGTTAAACCTGCGCACCACCCGATTCCTATTTCAGTCACATTCACCCTACCCTGATCACCTGATTCCTATTTCAGTCATATTCAGCCTACCCTGACCCTCCAATTCCTATTTCAGTCACATTCACCCTACCCTGACCACCCGATTCCTATTTCAGTCATATTCACCCTACCCTGACCACCCGATTCCTATTTCAGTCATATTCAGCCTACCCTGACCACCCGATTCCTATTTCAGTCATATTCACCCTACCCTGACCACCCGATTCCTATTTCAGTCATATTCAGCCTACCCTGACCACCCGATTCCTATTTCTGGCACATTCACCCTACCCTGACCACCTGATTCCTATTTCAGTCACATTCACCCTACCCTGACCACCCGATTCCTATTTCAGTCACATTCAGCCTACCCTGACCACCCGATTCCTATTTCATTACAATACATCTAACATGTGATATAAGGTAAACAAACAGTCTACAGAACCATCTGGATTGTCATCACGAATGAACTTTGAGGCAAAAGGTATTTGAGAAAAACATCGACAATTTCAATAAATATATCTATCAGTACTAAACAGAAATTTCGCAGCTGAAATAGTACTTGCACTGCCAAGGTAACAATATACAAATGACAGTGAGCACGTACGACAGCAAGCAAGTGGGGTAAGTGCTACTTTGAACAGTATTCCAGCAATAACACGGCGTATCAGCTTCATGTAGGAGGAAAGCCCAAAGTGATGCAGGTCTCTGACGTCCAATCAATGACTGAATCAGACAAACCCAAAGAACATAATATGATTTATTATAATGAAAGAGCGACATCAATGAAGAACATGACTTGGGTTCAAAAATACATGTTCCAGTTACACATAGATTCAATCATTCTCAAAATAATAATCAGGGTTGACAAGTTATACGGGCACCCTACTGTTAATACCAATGTTTTTCAGAGCAGGTAGAAATACCCAACAATAACATTCTCTTTTTCACAACATTTTTAACTTAGATGTGAAATTTACAAAGTATCAGTAACTATTTAATGGACAGATTTGTACTAACTTATTGTAACACAACATTGGTCTTAAACGAACAGATATCCATATGAATTTTTGATATTTACAAATGTTTTGTACATAATACAAACTAAAGCAAATGGAAACCTCGGGTAAAAACGTCACACTCAATTTTCTCCTCACAGTGCTGGTCCTCAGCTGTATGTAATATCAGGGTGTATATTACCCAGCTGTAATGCATCAAGAATGTATTTCTGAAGAATGAAACTGGTGACTTAATGTAGAATACTGGAAAAGACTGATAATTCATAAATATGGAATTTGCAAAAAATGCATCAAGGAACAATACTTTAGGCTGTGCATTTAAACAATTTGAAGAAGTTGCTGACATAATGGATAGCTTGGACAAAATACTGAGCATCTATCACAGTCTGTTGTAGGGGTGTTGGAGACAGGTTGTTGATCCAGGTTGTGTTCATCAATCCTCCTCTCCTCCCTCCTCGTTCCGGATCACAGGAACACCTACAACAGATGGTTCCAAATATAGTTTTGATTACCCCACATCCAAGATTAACTACATATTAGGGCAGGGCCATCATGTTATGGTGCAAGGAAAATAACTCAAACATCATCTGACTTTGACAGCAAATCATGACATTTGTTTTTGTCCAAACATAGTTTTTGTCAAGTGTGTCACAGTGCACACACAAGGGTAGAAAAGGTCTTCAGCAACCAATGCTTGCCGTAAGAGGCGACTAACGGGATCGAGTGATTGATATTGTCACTGAGTCAGACCACCCAACCCATTAAGTCACCTCTTCTGACCAGCATAGGTTGTTACCAACAAATTCTAACCCGCCCTCCCCACTGGGTCCGAAGAGAGAGTGAGCATACATGGCAGTGTGATGCGATTTGATACACACTAATGTTGATATATACTTAAAAAACATACATGTTAATATTTAGTGACATGTTTGCAAATTGTTTGATGAGCTATTTCTGTTATATTTTAAGTGCAGCCCAACTCTGCAAAATACTCTTTCCCAACATCTGTATCCACATTTGTGAGTGAGTTGGCGTCAACGCCATTGTTATCAGTGTTTCAGTTAATGTGGGAGGTAAGTGATCCTTGAACCTGTTCCACAAAGTGATCTCAGCACCACGACTGTCAGAAGTCAATACCAAAGTATGGGAGTTATGATCATCATGGCACATATGAGGATGCAACTCTGCACCGTAAATTCGGTTGCCCCAAAGATTGGGTCACCTGTGACCCTTCCTATAAAGCAAGGACTACTAACCATCCAGTTTCCTAAGCTTGGGCAGTCTCTTTGATGCTTGGTCTCTCCAGTCTCCCTCAGCAGTATGTTTCTCTTCCAGTGGATTCCCTAAAATGGTAAAGATTCTCAAGTTAGAACTTGACAGTAAGTATGCTAACCTTCTAAGATGGAGAGATGGAGAGATTTATTCAGTAAATGGATGACTGACCCTTTATACAGATTTCTGTTTAAGAAAATGTAGGAGTGGTCAAATGTTTATTACAAAAGCGCATCTAAAGATATTAAGCACCTATGACATTTTTTGTTCAGTTTGCTTCCCACCCCTTTGCATATATAGAACGAAATTCAATAAAAAAAAAAATAGAGAATTTTTTACATTGATATAGATACATGTATGACCAACACAACAGTTTTAACAATTCCATATGTAATTCAAATAATACCCCAATTCTGAGAGGCAATTTAAAGGCTTAATATTCATACAAAACAGCCAAGTTTGAGAACCACAAGCCCAGCGCACTAAGCATCAATGTTGTCGTATATGGCATGATAAGCTCTACTTGGCATTGTTGAGTGAGTATGGTACAATGCCGCTTTTAGCAATATTCCAGCAATATCACAGCAGGGGATACTAGAAATGGCTTCACACATTGTACCCACATGAGAATAGAACCCAGGCCTTTGACGACTGAATGCTCTAACCACTTAGCTACCCTACCGCCCCTAGCACTATTGAAGAACTATTTATCATGTTCAGATATTTCAAAAGCTATACAAAGAAGTAACCAGTTAACATCTTGACTACTTATCAACTTATTCTAACCAGTAAATGTATTAAGTTAGGTATCAGATATATGTAAAGTCCCCAGTCTTGTGGGACATTAGAAATATATTGTAGCAAGGATCAAATTGTACCAGCATTGGTCTAGTTGTCCAGCGTATGTGTTGACCCCTGGGCATATAAAATGTTTTACTCACCAACCATCAAGAGATCCTCGAGACAAGGGAGGTCACCCTGAAATAAATATAATCACTCTGCAATTACATAATCAAACAAAACTAAACAGCAGGACTTAGAAACACCTAGTCTTTTTAACTCCAACAACCCACTGCTCACATATCACAACAGCTGGAACTCCTCAGACCCCAACTATTCCAAAGTTCCCATGTTATTTCTTAAATAAACACTCCTTCATAGGACGTGTTCATAAATCTCCAACATCATCATCATCATCAAAAAGATTAACCAGCTACAAGCTTTAAAGCATTGTTCATTATCTGTTACTGTATCTACATTTGTTGATAAGGGGAAGATAATCTCTTAAAAGTTTTGGTGACGTCCTATGATCTTTTCAGATTCAACTTTGAAAATCATTACCAGGCCCATGAGCAAGTACCAGTTCTGACATTCGGCCTTTCAACCATTGTATGTAATATGATGTTTTCATGTGGTGGTGTTGTATTGACGCAAACAATCAATACAGTTGGTTGGTTGGTTTGTTGTTGAACGCCGCACTCAGCAATATTCCAGCTATATGGCGGCGGTCTGTAAATAAACGAGCCTGGACCAGACAATCCAGTGACTGATATCATGCGCATCGATCCAAGCAATTGGGATCGATGACATGCATCTACCAAGTCAGCGAGCCTGACCACCCGATCCTGTTAGACGTCTCCCACGACAAGCATAGTCACAATCAATACAGATCAATACTGAGATGACTCAGCCATAGGCCATAACTTTCTGTCAGTATGAATTCTGTCAATTCTGGCAGTCTCAGGTGTAAGACAAGCAAATATATTTTATCCTGAATTTGGAAATTACTCGATGTTGATTTGTCAATCAGAGACATCAAATCACAACATCCACCTCTATAACAGCTGATTTGATAGACGCATCACCGCAGAAGCTACTGTTTATACAAAAGTTCTTCTTTCTCAGTCATTGTTAATAGGTATTTCTAAATAATTATATGTACAAATATAGGTCCCAAAATGCAGTGTAGTGGTTACAATTATATACAAAGTATGAGATGCAACACATTTTGTGCAGAAAACATGAGAGAAATACACAAAGAGAAGGTATTTCTAGTTTTGGTGACAATAGTAAGCTTTAAAATTTGGCAATTTTTTAATGTTGACATCATATATTTTGCATCATAATAAGCAGTGTGGCATTATCATGGTGAAGTGCGATGAAGAATAAAACCTTGCAAGGCTTGCTTAGTTTTCTTAAAGGGTGCCCACTGTCCTGTTGACCACAAAGTTACTATGCTAAGTGGTTTCAATGCCTGTCGTATGTTCAAGTGAAGTATTACAGTGTAAAGAAAAGGCTTTACATTTCATAACACCATATTTTGTTCAAAGCCTGTAGTCAGTGATTCCGAAATCGACAACCTAGGTACTCAAAACAATGGACTCAACCCATGCCACTTCAATCAATATATTTACCAAAGATTCTGTGTTTTATAAAGTCAGTTCCAAATAATACCAAAAGAGTGTTTTTCAATCTACAGGTAACTTAGCGTAACATTGAAAACAGTATGTTTATCTAAAAAATAATCAAGATCACAACTGACTGAAAACAGATGATTAATGAACAAGTTTAATTCTCCTGATTGCCTCTGAAAGCACTCACACATTATTCATACTTACCAATTTTCCAAATTCACCCCAATCTTTCACATAATTGTTGGAAAGATACAAAACCTGAAATCAAAAGAAAACAATAACCAGCATTATAGTGAGTGAGTGAGTTGGGTTTAAGGACACTTTTAACAGTATTACAGTTATATCGCGGCATGTCAGCTTAACGTGGGAGGAAACCCAGAAGTGATGCAGGTCTCAGACGTTTACCACGGTGAAACCCACGAGCACAGGTATGGTGCTGACTAACCTAGAAACATTTGGGGAGAAACAGGAATCGAACTAACAATCATAAGTTTCTGGCATGCCAAAGGGACACAACTCTACACAGTGATTTGCAGTTCCCTTCAACCACCTGGACCACCTATTCCCCATTTTATTCAGGAGACATAACTTGGTTCCAGTCATAAGAATCCTCATTCTACGGGACGCAACACTGCACAGCAAATCGCCTCGCCTTAAACGAATGGGCCACCCGTGCCCCCAACCAGTATTTTAAGGACACAACAGATAAATTCACTGTCCCTTAGGTTAACAACTACCTTCAGTATTGGTGGTGATTACATTGACTCATATTAACATTTTTAGCTAAGGGACTCTTGTTATTTATTTATAGGGAAGACAGGGATAGAAATTAGCACTAGCCTGCTAGCCCTGGCCAGGTTTGTTAATGTTAAGTTATCACTACTAGGGCTGGAAGATTTTCTTGGTTAATTTCTGTCTACCCCCAGTCCCTAAAGGGCTACCTTCAGTTGGCCCTTGACTTCAATCCTATATTTAAATCAAGAAGAACTAATTGTTTGGAAGGTGGGGCTTCATTATATTTAACCACACAGTCTGTTAGACCAAGTTAAATGATATGAAAAAGTTGCATGCAGCATAAAAAAATCCTATAATAACAAACTAACATACATACAGCACCAACAGTCATGAATCATGTCGAGATGTATGTCTCATAACGGGTGGATAGAGTGCTTTACAAACCTTCAATTTTTTCAAAACGTTGATGCCCTTGAGTTTCTCAATGAGGTTGTAAGATATCCAGAGCTCTTCAAGCGTGTCTCCCACAGCCTCCTGTTAGTGGGAAATAAGCATCACTTTACTGACATACATGTAGTAGCAGCTGATGGTATCCCAGAAACCCAGGGTTTGATGACTTCATATGACATTGTGAAATGCAAAATTAAATATTGAACAAACTTAATATAAAATTATGCAGAATCAATTTCGTCAAACCAAATACCACATTTATTCAAATTTTGGATTGAGAAAAAAAAGCAGTGAAAAGTCCAGAAGATTGCCAGGGGATCCAAATCCAATCACATTTAATGTTATTCTGATTGAAGGATGCACACCTATTCATTATACAACTCTAAATTAAACATTTCAGAGACAACTCATATTCTGACTGACCCAAAAAATCACCCCCCCCCCCCCCCCCCCCCCTTTATGTGAAATGACATAAAATCTGTGACTTCAGCCACTTCTCAGAAGCCTGAGTCTACTAAACTAGTCCAGTAAGATCAGCTTACCATTTTCCATATACTACATATAAAATCTACTGAAAATACTGTCCCAATACAAGTTAGGGAGAGTAGACATGTTAACAATTTAATGAGATTGAAAGCCATCAATCATACACATACCAAACCTGTCAAGCTTTTGATATTATTTCTCCCAAGTGATAAAATCCTCAGGTTTTCTAAAAGAAAAAGAAGAAAATTGTTGAAAATATGTAAGAGCAATCTGTGCCAACATTTGCAGCAAGACTAACGTACTATCCTATACACACCATACCAGCTCCTCTGACAACAATGTCAGAGAATGCAATGTTTTTCAAGACTTTTCGTGTTATTCATTTATTATTTTACACTGCAGTGACATTGTATATCTCATAGGCATTGTCAACTTACTCAGTCCATTAAGATTTGCAATCTTCTCAATACAATTCGTCGATAGGCTGAGTTTCCTGCAAAACATGAAAGGTCATTGTAAAAAAAACATGTTCATCTTCAACTGAACTAAAAAACATGAATTATTCTGGACTGATGTTGGATTTATGGTGCTAATCCACTGAGATACCATGTCACAGTTTCCCATGGATACCCCACTCAGACACAGCATACAGAGCTCTTTATTCTCTTAATGCTGAGTGCTTGACAGGGTAGCAACAGGTGCCATCTTTTGGTTTAACGCGGCTGGGGATGGAACCACCAACCATCCACACCATGCACTCTATCAGCTAAACCAAGAAGTCAGTCCCTATGTTTTTCAATTTTTCACTCTTCCAGCAGCCTTTATCTACATTATGTACATAGATGGGTTAAGTACACCAGTGGTAAAAGGATTATTCTTATATGCTTCTGACACCTGGGAAAAAGTAAACTTTTTGAGTTACATCATAATGTACTGACATCATGATGCTGTACAAATAACATTGGATCTGTGACCTATTCAAACAGAGAATCATCACGGGGGTATAATATAAGTCTTTGAATATCCTCTGCCACCTTTTCATATATATAACCACTGGGAAGACAAGGCTCATATGACACCTATCAGGACAGTCAGATCAGTGCATCTGCCCCGATTCATAAGTAAAACTCTATTCTGTCACACACACACGCATGCACACGCTTGCTATGAAGGCAACCAACAGGATCGGATGGTCAGGCTTGATAATGTTGTTGATGCATGTCAATGAATTCCAATTGCATGGATTGATGCTCAGGGTGTCAATCACTGGACTGTCTGGTCCAAGCTTGATTGTAGATATTTTGCCGTCATAAAGCTGAGTGAGGCTGTTTAACAACACACAAGACATTCCTTGCCACCTTTAATATACCAGGCCACGGCATAACGGACAGGTAGCTATTGTGAACACTGTTTGCTACTCACTCGCAACAGGAAAGAGTTGACAGGGAGGCATCCATCTTCTCAATGGGAGGTAGCTGTCCATACAGCTTCACCTCCTTTGACTCTGAAGCCTTGCTCTCTGTCTTCTCCTCCTGAAAGAACCAACAGCAAACTTTGATAACCACAAGGATGTGTACCGATAATGAAAACCTAAAATGTCCATTAAAATTTTTGAAAAATTTTTTTTCAGCATTATGACAAAACTGAAAAGAGATCATGCATATACTGTAGAATATAGACTGTAAATCATGAAATTAATGCATCTCCAAAAGAATGCGACCACTGGCTCCTAGCCAAAAAAATGTAACTCAATATGAATGTGACATCTCCTCCTCTGACTGACTGACTGATATAGAAGATTTAACGTGCGCTTTCCGACTGCAGCGTATTTCACACAGGGGCCTGGCCGGACCATTTAGTGTATTCCGAGAAGGGTGAAAGTGGTGTGTGCAACACAAGAGGGGGTTTTTAGGGGGTGCTTATATTGATTTTTTTGAAAATTTTGAAAAAAAAAACCCCTCCTCTCAAGCATAAGTGTATTTATATCTACAGAAAATGTCCTCTGTCAGGGTTTACAGGAGAATCCTCACCTTAATCCAACCTTACATTAATCCAATCACACACCAATTAGCCCTGCTTATAAGCGCTGAGTAGAGTACTTCCACTAAAACAATACATGCGTGCTGGCTCGTGTCTGCCTTTGACGCAGTCGCAAAGAACCAAGACACTGTGTTGGATGGGTGGCGTCTGTCTGGACTTGCAGGTGTGATCAGTGATGACATAAGTGAGTAGAATGCTTGTCTTGACCCTAGCAGTGACAATTCACAGGATGTAATTAGTGTTTGAATGACATTGTTTATATACTTGTAACAAGTGCTGCTCAATAAACAGTGGAGGGGCGGTCTGGTAGCCTAGTGGTTAAAGCGTTCGCTCGTCACGCCGAAGACACGGATTCGAATCCTGACATGGATACAATGTGTGAAGCCCATTTCTGGTGTCCCCCGCCGTGATATTGCTGGAAAATTGCTAAAAGCGGCGTAAAACCAAACTCACTCACTCAGTAAACAGTGGTGTGGAATACATAGTTGTTTGTTTTCAGTGTATGTCTCAGTTGGTATTTCTGCTATCCAAAATGTCAAAACGTGTTGATATAATAGTGATGTTTAATAATGCGAGCAAAGACCACTTGCATTATTCGCATTTAATTCACGCTCGCCTTAATTTCAAGATTTACAGCACATAAAGCAAGACGTGTCACTGCTAGGGTGAGTCACTGGAGAACAAATTTGGAATTTTGGCATATTTCAAAATTAAGTAAGCAACCCGAAAAGCCCCACCTAGGTTGCCTCACCTTTTCGGACATACCCTTTTCGACCAAACACTAAATGGCCTGGCGGGCCCGTGCGCGAAATACGCATACAAATGTATGTCGGAAAGTGCACGTTAAATTCCTAATTTAAGTAAGTAAGTACTGCTAGGGTTTAACAGAGCTTAGATAACATTTCATTTATATAATCTTAACTGTTAATGGAAAGTAATACGTATCAGCTGCATAGTTATTGCAATTGAAATAAATTATCCTTTGAAATGCCTGTATTTACTTAATTAATCAACAGCAAAAAACGTGGAGAGCAAACCTACCTACTAAATAGCAGTGGAAGAAACTGCTAGTCTTCCACTAGTCTTTATAATGATAACAGCAAAACCCTATATAATGGCAAATTTCTACTAGTCCTTATGATACCTTAACTATTGGGCAGTTTAACAAGGACTATAGAACTAGTGCCATTTTCGAACGCTGAGTAGCACCTGAAAAACGTACACTGTTACCAAGGGTTTTTTGTGAACTCTGAAAAATGGTGTTCAGGTGTGACAGAAAAGTGTGGCAGGGAAAATTAAACGTAGTAATGCAGGATAAGTATAAAAATGTAAACAATACTTAGATTTGACTAAAAAAAATTCAAATATTTATCAAATAACTATTAATATATGCACAAGTTACAGCACTAGTCTTGAAATTGTATCTTAATGGAAATTGTACTTGAATTTGGTTACCTGTGACTTGAAACAATGATGCAAATTATGTTACTAGATTATATAGGTATATCCTCGCTTATCCAATGAGCATTGTCAACTAAAATAAAGTACTAATTGCATTAATTTTCATGTATGTTGGTTCATTGTCGACTTAAGAAGGAATTAATTGTGAGTACAATTATTAGCAGACGTGTTTTCCAATATCAGCAAATAGAATTTAGTCACCACAAGAATTTGTCAAGGTAGTCATTTGGCTACCTCTGAATTTTAGACAGTAGACAAACTGAAATTTAGGTCGCATTGGCTACTGTTTTAGTCGCAACTTTGAGGCTTGATGTCAAGTGCTATTATTTGTGTAGCATCAAACAAACGTGGTGTAGAGGTATTCAATATTCTCAAGGCGTACCTTGATATAATAATAATCACACTGCAACATCAAATGTATACAGCTGTTGGTTTGAAAGTTTAAGCAATGAAATGAAAAAGTTTCACTCACCCATTTACCAAGAGCCTCCTTAATTGTTGTGCCTTTAGCCTGAATAATGAAATACACATCCTTACAGATATCTATAATGTTTACATCGTAAGAGAGATCGCAAGGTTGATAATCACTGCATGAATTGCATCCCCTTACAATTAGTTTCAAACTCTTTATGTAACATCAAGTCACTTGTTTGGGACATACTTAGAAATAAGTAAATCAAATGTGATTAAAAACGAAAAATACTCTTTGAGCAACTGTGATATAAAAGAAGGACAAATATTCTAAAGTGACTACATATTTAAGGATAAAAGTGGGAGCTGAGATCCACACGTCCACCTACCGCCATTGCTTTGATATAAATGAAAGTCAATTATTCATAAGTGACCCTATATTTAAGGATAAAATTTAGAGCCAAAGTATACACATCCACCTACCGCCATTGCTGCGAGTCAAGTTGCTACGCAACAATGTCTGCGAGACTACATTTTAGAAGATGGGGCGATAAATGTAATATTTGACTATTATATGTTTCTGCAATATATTTTTTGCGGTTGATAATTCCGTAATTTGGGAAGTCCTGTCGCCAAAATTTTAAATCTTCATTTATATTCACATAACACATTCGCAGCAACTCAACATTCAACAAAATGGCTGCCAAAGTCATAGGAAGTTTGAATGTGATGGCCCAACTTTTAAATAAGCATGTAAGCACATCGTTTATGCTGTAACAATCAGTATATCGTCGACGCATTTTTATACGGGCATTGTTTTATACTGTCAAGTAGATGATTTGGTAATCATGTCTTGAGTCAGGTGTCATTGACTGTATTCTGGTTTCAGATTTTACCAAGTTTTTGTATTCGATGTGCACAGAGAGTCACACAGTTCAACACTCTACTCCGTGTTATAAGGTACAGTCAGTATTGTTTGTAAAGAGAAAAGACACTCTGATTATCTTAAGATGATGAGTAATGTTCTACCAGCTACCATACTAATAAGTTGTTTTTGATCGCAAAAGACAACTGAACAAAAAGGGTCGATTAGGTCATGGACACTTACGAAGTTTACGGGTGGGCAAGGTATCTCATGACTTTAGTTTGTGGACACGTATGAGTGATCCAGGATCCACTTGCACAGAACAATCTTAGCGCTACAATCGCAGTGTAAGATACAATTAAAACTTACAATTGGTCCGGACCACTGTTATGTAGCTAAGATCATTGTAGTCCCTGAATAAACATGACAAAATAGCATGCAAGACTTGTTCTTTTTCACAAGGTTCAAACATTGCCTCTTTATTTTGTTAAACTTAATGATTCGAATCTAGACTTCAACAACATGAAGAACGCACCACAGATTTAACGTCAGATATATTGTTAATTGCGATAGTTAACCACATAACTATCAAGTCGATAGTACCATTCCCTACCGACTCAATGCTGAAAGAAGTGTAAAACAACATACCTTTTCGCTAATCAAGGGAAGGATTAAAAGCGATTTGTAATGTTCGTGCCCTTTTGGATAAATCAAGGGCAGCTAACCTTGGTTTATACTCAAGATGGGAGTGGTTTCCTTTTGTCATGTTTGTATAAGCCCGTAGAGTACAATCTACCTTACCCAGTGTATTAATGTTATAGAATCGCTGAAATGCCACTATATTTCTTTTGGGTCACATTTGTGTCAGTGTCAGTCTTTCGGTTATCATTAAATTAATCTACAAATAAATACAAGTTGAAGAGCAAAATCATACAGGTTTAAAGGGGCACTGATCTAACGCAATTCCCCGGACTGGTTGTTGCCTTTGTTATTGTTTTTTCCCCCGTGAGTACCCGGATGATACGCAACGCAACTGAGCGTGACCAGAGACTGGGCTACCGTCTGCAAGGACAGCTAAATAAACTTTGAGGCTGGAGGCAATATTTGTTTTACGCGTTTTTGCATAAACACTGATTGGTTAACTGTGATCTATAAAGATTTCGACAAAGGGCGCATGTTAATTAATTTCTTCAGCCTAAACAAACAGACAAAAAGAACAGCGGAGCTCATCGGATGTCGTCATTTGGAAATACCCCAGATGGTTATAGTTTAATACTAAAAAAAGTATCCATGCAGTGAAAGCATTTTCGGATTTCGGCTTGCGTCGATAATACGATTACTACTCCCTTGTTGTCATCCACGTTTTCTCGTATAACCCTACACTTGTGTATTTGTCGTCATTCACTTGATGCTCAGTTAATGAATTTATTACAGGTACAATTAGTGGTAGCACCACTTAGATTACCTGACAAAGGTTCCCATTTGGCATTTATTGTGTCTGGGGTAATTATTCAATCTAAATCCAGGTTTGAAGTGAGGTGAAATGTGTGTTATGTAATATGCACGTGGCAGCCCAGCAAGAGATGAATGATCAGTTGATTTACTTTTTTTTGTAAATCAACGGATCGTTCCTAGTCATTAAAGGATTAACAGACAATACGTTGATTGATTAATCACTGTTATCTTGCACAGTGGATATGTCAAGAGTGAGTGTTTACATGTCTAGGTTTACTAAAACAAAGGGAATACACTCATATCATGGCGTGAAGTGCCGATGTAAAAACAAGATACTTTGTTCAAAGGGTTAACTGTTAATACGTTGATTGATTGATCATTGTTATCCATCACTCAATGGATTTTTTAGGAACCGTGGACGTTATGAAAATAGTTGTCACGTGGGCTTTCTCAGCTGACCCTTGAGACTTGACGCCTATATGAAACACCTGAAACAATCCAGGTGATCAGTTGAGAAACAAACACGGGTTATAATATCCCGAAACGATATATATCTTTTAAAATATTTGATTGTTACTGAGACACGTGACATCGAATATTTTTCTTTGTACAGCTGCAGACGAGTGGGATATTGTTCCTTTATGTGGATATTCACGGATACATTCCTCGAACAAGGAAGCTGCCTAAAATTTATACACATAAATTTGGTAGGTTGTAATTATGATATTTGCATTTTGTTTTCCTTCATTTGAACCGATTCGTTCTTGTTTCTCTACGTCTTGGTTGGGAAATTCTTCAATGAGCGATAGATGTTGTTTTCACAGGTCTATTCCTTTGTAACCGTGTATATATTACCGTCAATTTGTAAAATGTGATTCTCTCAGGCAATTTATAAAATGTGTAAATATTTCAGTCATTTTGACTAAAAAATCTGTCCAGATTGATTAAGACGATCAAAAGGGCCTACAAACATCACAACAGATTATTATGTAGGATTAGAAGCCAAACAACATGGAAATGTACTTTTCAACGTAACATTTTCAGTCTCTTGGTGATGACATTAAACATCAAAATTTTTGGAATTCGTTATCATAATAATACAGATGGAAATGTTTTTCAGTCACTTTGTAAAATAACTGAATATTTAGACGTTTAATAAATTTGTTACACATTTGACAGTAACAAATATACACACTATAAAAAAAGCAATGCTCAGGTGAAATATTTACTTTGTGTAGCAAGTCAAAATAGTGTAAACGAAAATCGCAAAATTACCAAGCAAGTGACTTATCAAAACTTCGTCACCATTACCGATGCTACCCACAAAGATACCTACATTTCCTTATTATCTCGAAAACTGTATTTCATTTTGATGATCAGTGTGACCATACGCCCTTATTACTACCCATAAAAGTGACATGCGTTTAGGAATGGCGCAGCGGAGGTCGCGAACTAGTCTAGATTTCTGCTATACATCCGGGTACTCACTGGGAAAAAACAATAACAAAGGCAACAACCAGTCCCGGGGAATTGCGTTAGATCAGTGCCCCTTTAAATCTAAAATAAAGTTGGACAGGGACGAGCAGTTTGAACATTCTGGAACGTAGTACTTCCCAAGGGCTATACAATTCTCTTCCATTTAAGTGTTTATCCTATTGAAGTGAGAGAAAGACAATGATTTTGACAGATTCAGGTATAAAACCCACAGTCATAAGTTTCTGCAGTGCGGAACATTAGTTGACTGGGCCACCTGGGCCCTGCTAGGGCTTTTTTAAGCAAGTGCAATGATAAAGCATCAGTAAAATGTGCGGAATGTGCCACATGTTTCCAGCCTGAGATCCCCATGTAGATGTAGCTCTAGACTAGATAGACTCAGGTACATTCCTGGTAATAACAAATGCCTATACCCTTATGTAATTTTGTTTTTTTTCACTTTCAGAATGCCTCATGTATCATTATCAGTGAAACACTTCAGCTCAGAGGTGAACAACTTCAAGACCAAAATAACAGAGGTGACATATTTATTGCAATATATTTCATTATTTTTTTTATGGTGCCAGGATTTGGGGGCAGAGTGGACAAGGGGTCAAAAGCGCCAGGCTAGTGAGTACCAGGTGCTGAGATCGTATTCCGCTAGTGACTGGGTTGTTATTCAGCCTTGGGACCAACAATATTTTACAGGTCTTTACAGTGTTGTCACTTCCCCTAGTGTACAGTACATAGTCATCATAATAATAATAATAATAATTAATAATAATAAATAATAATAATAATGTATTGTATTGCATTAATGATATTATATTTCAGTGTTTCATATCCATGGGGTCTATTCTGAAAATATAATGTGACCAATATCATGATTATTGTCAGTAGGGTATTAGTTGTTGTTTTTTAAAAATTCTGCTTTAATCATTTTTTTAAAATGTTGAACGCTTTGAATTACAAATAATGAATGGTACATTCTTCCCCATATCAATATTTATCTTATTACATCATAACAGTTTCGTAGTGTAACAGCAAGTGATGATATAAGTTAGCATGGCATACATTTATTAAATATTTGAACTTATTCTGCATTATCCTGCATTATCCTGCATTACCTAATAAATCGCTTGCTTCGGATCTATAATTATATGAAAATTTAAGTAAAATCCTATATATCTTTTATACTTGTATACTTATCCTGCATTACTCCTTAATGCATCTACTGCTTGTTCTAGACAGAGAGAAAGAGCTGTGCGAGGTCTTGCTGAAGAAGAAGTTGTTTCAACTAGCTGAGTGGCTAACCAACCCTTTGACACAGCTCCCATGTGACCATGGAAGGGGTGATGTCACAGATCAGCACATTACTACTGTCACCCAAAGAAGGAAGACCTTTGTGTTGAATTTTCAATGTTTTTCATAGAATCCTTCACGTGTTGATAAACTCTAGTGGTTTTTTTGTGTACTATATTGTGGCTATGGTTTGTGTTTTCATATTTTTCAAATGATTTATGCTATTGTGTATTCACTACAGTAATGATGGGCGTGTTGTTGTTTCAAGCAGCCATCTTGAATAGTGTCACGCTTTCTCATGTCATGCATTCTGTATTCTTTGTATTGCCTGGTACTACATTTATTGTTTTATCTTTGCACTAATATTGTTTATTAAAATGGTGGATTTGCGTAAACTTGTTTATCGGAAACCCACATGGCTGGGACAAACGATTATAGCACACATAACCGGGCGGGACACATTTTGATTACACTCAGCTATTATTGCAGATACATGTACATGCCATGTTGTAGCCAGTGTCACCGTTGTCGCTACCTTGCACATCCACCATACTTCCGGCTCAAGCTACTCAGGTCCATGTTTCAGGTCCATGACTCACTGATCATCCTGGATATCCAGGACGAATATTTACATGTGCCGATCCATCCAAGCAACAGGAAATTTCTCCGCTTCATCTTCGATGGAATCCACTATCAATGGGTGGTGCTCCCATTTGGAATTTCCTTGGCCCTGTTGCTATTAACATGCATCATTGATATCCACCTTCCTCCACCTGAGGGGTGTCCAGTTCAAGGCGTATATAGAAGACTGCCTTCTGAACCATCAAGACACGGCCACGCTCCTACGCCACAGGGACTTCACTCGACTACATCAACTAGGATGTATCCTCCAAATGTGGAAGTCAGAGTGCCAATTCATCAGAGGCCTATTTCAAACCAACCAAGACCTCCTCTTCTTCTTCCAAGACTTCCTGCACTCTACCAACCCTGCACCAGTGGCAGCCGCCTCACACCAGCTCAGGACCTGACCTCCAGAGGCAGGCTCCAACTGCACCCCATACAGATGTTCCTTGCTCCCTACATCAGGCGCCAAGATCCACCTCTGATGGTGGACGACGGAATCGTTCACTTAGGCGGTGTCTCCTTGACAGAGCTTACGACCTTGTTACACCTATTAGTCAAGGATGGGGGTCAAGTCGCCTCGGGGGCTGTGGTCCGCCGTTTAACAGTGGCACATCAACAACCTAGAACTAGATGCACTCATACTGGCTCTCTCTCACTGGAAACAGACACTCAAGCGCACACTCGGATCACCATATCAAGGGACAACATCACTGATTGTATGGTGCCTCTGCAATCAGGAAACAACCCACTCCCACTCACTCCTAAAACAAACATTCCGATTCTTCCACCTAGTCAATCAATTGGAACTCCAGTTTTGGGTCCAACACATCCCGCGCTGTCCTTGCAGACGCCCTTTCCAGACTGGACATGGTAGCTCCCACGGAATGGAAACTCCATACAAACACCTTCCGCCTCCTCAACAAAGACCAGCCAGAACTACCAGGTCTGAACCGTCATATCGCCAATACCGGACCCATAGGCTTAGCCTTAGGCTCTGGGAATGACTAAAAGCGTATACTTTTCCGCTGCCAGTACTCCTTCCCAGGGTTCTTCAGAAGATCAGATCAACACGGAGCCTCGATCTGACTTTGATTGCCCCCTGATGGCTAGCGAGAGGTTGGTTTGTCAGTCTCAGGGAGATATCTGCCACCGACCCTCTCGAACTCCCTGACTGGCTGAATCTGGCAAAAGGCCCAATCAGGCTCCAGACAGGTTACATCTGCACATCTGACTCATTTACAAAGTGCCAAGGGCTGTTCAGTTTGAGCGGTAAGGGCAATTACCCTCACACATAGACCACTCACACATAGACCATCTACCAGGGGTCTGTATGACGACAAGTGGCGCTCCTTCCAAGATTTTTGCAAGGCAAAACACCAAGACCCAACCTCTGCGTCTCCCCAATTCTTGGCTGAATTTCTACTATACTTGCACCACAAGCATCGTCTGAAGGGCAGCACAATCACAACCTACCTTGTGGCCCTCAACTCTGTTTTGGATGTTTCGGAAGATCGGAAAATGATGAAGGTCCCGGAACTCCAAGCTTTACTTCGCTCGTTCCGGCTAGAAGACCAGAAGGCCAAGTTTCAACACCCAGCATGTGACCTGAATGTGGTCCTTGCACTACTAAGAGACACGCCCAAAGAGCGGAAGGTCCGGGGTTTGATCCCCGGCCGCGTCATACCAAAAGACGTTAAAAGATGGTACTTGTTGCTACCCTGTCTGGCGCTCGGCATTAAGGGGTTAAAGCAAGGACTGGTCGGCTCGGAGTCCATATACTGTGTCTGAGTGGGGTATTCATGTTAAACTGCGGCATGGTATCTCAGTGGGCTAGCACTAGTCCGGTCCGGTCCGGTCTAGTACAAGCAGCCACACACACACACACACACGTGCATGCACGTCACTGTATAATTGCAATAATTCTGGACGCGACGTTAAACCCAATGTCAACTCACCTCACCTCAGACTGTGCTGGGACTTCACAGCCAAGAATCAACTCAAAGAGAGCCCTTCCTTCTTCTGCACCTATCTTCGATAGTGGGGGCCAAGGATCATTGTGGACAACGCCGCTGCCTCTTCACACTAGTATCGATGACATCACAGGTTGAAGTCAGCCATGATCTTCCTCTGGCTTTGCGCCATCATTCATCAGGCCAATGAGGCTGCAGGACTGGATTCTCCAAGATCCGGGCAGTCCACTCCACCATGGCAACTGCTCCATATGGCTGCTTCTGGCTTTCAGACAACGTCTTCGTCAGCCACTACCTGTGAGATGTCACCTTAGAAGATGTAGAAGGCGTACACAGCTTTGGCCCTTTGTTGGTTGCATTGTAGGTCACCGTCCCTAGATGCCATTGATGCTTCCTCTCTGGTGCGTGTCACCCCAGACTAAGAGGCTACATGCTAGTTGCATGATGCTCGGTACATCAGTTCTAGACTTTAATTTAATTTAACTTCTATGACTGTATCCATACCTGGACTTCATGCACACCTAACTTTCTCCCTCCTTGTTAGCAGGAATGGTCGCTTGATGCTGGACATCGCCTTTGCTGATTGGCTGAAGTTTTGGAGAATATTATTGAAGGTCACTTCTGAAGATGATAAAGATGCATTATAAGTAATGCAGGATAAGTTAAAAAATCTAGTAAAATCCTAGATATTTTTTATATTTGTATACTTATCCTGCATTACTATGTCTAAAGTGGCCCACCTGTTGCAGAGCTGCCACCCGACGATGCCTTCAGATGTTCCGGTTTAGCAGAAATATGCTGATCTGTGATGTCACCCCTTCTGTGGTCATATGGTAGTTGTGTCATAGGGTTGGCTACTCATCTAGTTGAAACAACTTCTTCTTCAGCAAGACCTCACACAGCTCTTTCTCTCTGTAAATGCATTAAGGAGCAATGCAGGATAAGTTTACAAGTATAAAAGATACATAGGATTTTACTTAAATTTTCGTATAGTTATCATGATTATAGATAAGAAGCAAGTGATTTATTAGGATTCAGGGAAAATGCATATATAAAATATTATTGTCAGTTATAGCTTATAGATAAATAACAGACATTCCTAATTACTGGTGGCAGAAGAGAAAACATGGTTATATTTCTGCACGACTCATTTACATATATAAACATATATGTTTTCCAATTGGTGCAAAAATGTCAAATACTGAAACTAACCTGAGACATGTTTATTTTACAAGGCTGATGATGCAGATGAGATTGATGATCTTTACAAGCGAATCATCATTGAGGTCAAAGGCCACGATCCTGAGATCATCAAAAGTTACACCAATTTTTTTGCGATGACTGCAAGGGAACTCGATATACCCATTCACAATGTGTGAGTATACACAGTGATGGTCTGATCATATTGTTTTGTTGAGGTACGATTATTTGTTTCCAACCAAGAAGTGAAGTTAAAAATCAATTTACTAATTATCATGATCATATTCAAGGGGGAAAAACGTGAATGTTGTGTGCTCATTGTGAGGCATGTAAAATGGAACTGTTTTAAGTGTGGTTTTTCATGTGACCAATGCTGGTGATTTTTCAAATTCCTACTACGCAAAGATTATTGACATAAGATCAATGCCCATGAGTACTTTTCGCTGAACTTCTTCCAAATGGGAATTCTTTTGGTAGATGTTGTTAAAAAATCAAAGGTCAAGGTCACAAGATGGAAAACAGTTGCAGAAACATTGTGGTTACATTTTCTCATGAGGTATTCATCATGTTTATGCATTTATCATTAAACTACTTGTGTTCCACATTTAGCGCCTAAATATATTGCCATAAGGCTCGTGACATTGGAGATCATATGTAGACTCTTCGTCTTCAGACACACCCCTGATAAAGACATTGAGAGGCTAACTCTACTCAAGTCGGTCCATATTTACAAGAAACACCGAGTTCAGTATGAAGCAAGAACACACTACAAACAGTTTGAGGTAAGTGCTCAGTGTGCAGGTCACTGGGTTCAACATCTTCTTAGGAAACAAGGGGGGCACGGGTGGCCCAGTCGTCTAAGGCGCTGCGATTCGCTGTGCAGAGTTGCGTCCCTTGGGCACGCCAGAAACCTATGATTGTGGTTTCTAGGTTTGTCAGCATCATACCCGTGCTCGTGGTTTTCACCAAAGTGGTAAACGTCTAAGACCTGCATCACTTCGGGCTTTCCTCCCACATTAAGCTGACACGCCGCGATATAACTGGAATACTGTTAAAAGCAGTGTTAAATCCAACTCACTCACTCTTAGGAAACAATATAAAATTGTGTCCGTCACAATAGACTGAACATGAAGATAAGTGTACAAAGAGACAGCTTAACACTGTACACATGTCAACATATTCATATCATTTTTGAAAGAACAAACACTGTTTCCCACTTACTGACCAGAATTTTCACAAAAGAAACCTGTGAAAAGAAAAGAACCAATATAATCTGGTCTGAGTGAGTGAACGTCAAAATATACAAGTAGATTCAGTTCAACACTTGAAACAGTCGGCCCAAGTGGGGAACAAGGTTAGAAGAGGTCCACACTTCTGGCTTTATGGCAAGACTGAAAAGATAAACTTGATCAGGTGGTCAGTCTCTGTGACAAGACTGATTGCATGTTGTTGTGCCTCAAGGCCATGCGACTGCTCCCAATCACTGGTTGGCCAGTTGCAGTCTTAACTATACGGGCTGCAATGAATAACTGCAAGTTTATTAAGTTCATTAAAGATCTATTTGTCAAAGAGCAGACTAAACTGAGTTTTGAGGGTTCCAATGTGTGAACTGGCTTATTGCTTCCTTGTACACTGATGGTGTACACTGATGGTGTGGTTCGTTACACCAGTTTGCCTGGCTCGGTCTCTCATCTTTGCATCCTGCTGTTGTTTGGCTATATTTATTATGATATTAAGATGACAGTAACTATATACTATTATACTATGGCCAAGATCACATGGGTTTTATGTATCTGTTAAATCTAAACTGTACTATGGCCTTGCATACTGAATAAACTGTCTGTCTGACAGTAACAGAGCTCCAGATAAGCTGCGTATCTACGTAAAATATGCATCAGAAATGCAGGAAAATAAATTTCAAGCGTATCAAATACGCAAGGAACATTACAGATACGCTACAAAAATATAACTTGTGCGTATCATTAAAATATTGTGAAGTAACCCTGCGTATTCGATTGGTAAATCAGCAACTTATTTTGAAATTTTAAACGGGCATTCCGTCAACCTTACCAAACTCCACGATGACAGTTACATCATGATCATTTGCCATCACACTTTCTTGTGGAAGTATCGTGGTATTTTTGAGCTATAAAGCTCTCGAACTCACACGAAACCAGTTTGCAGGGCCTAGATGAATAGTGTTTTTAAATATTTAACTTAAATACCCACGTGTAAAAACTAGTGGGTAACAGAAATTTGAATACCAAGATGGAATTACTGATACCCAATGATTTTAAAATGCATGGGTAAAATACCCACAACACCAAAAGCTTATCTGGAGCTCTGCAGTAATGTTAAGTTTTACCATTTCAGTATTGAGTGATATAATTGGTGTGTCAGCAAGGTGTGTAATAATATGAACCATGAAAATCATTGTTGGCAGATGAAGATAATACGTTTGTGTATGATTTAGTGATATTCTAGGAACCTATGCTGGCAGTAAGAGGTGACTAAATCGGTGGTCAGACTCATTGTAGCCTGATGGTGTTGAATGTTGCTCACAATATAAATCACTTGATTGTCTGGCTCACACTTGGCTATTTTGAACCGGGCAAAATATTTCTGTATTATTGATGAGCATACTGAGTGAGTTGTAAACTTTGAACAAAACAAAAATAATTATTCTACAGTGAAACCTAGTTAGTCTGGGTTAATATAGGTCTTCAGCAACCCATGCTTGCCGAAAAAGGCGACTTTGCTTTGCTTATTGTAAGAGGCATCGAGCGGTCAGGCTCACTGACTTGGTTTGATGCATGTCATTGCATCCCATTTGCGTAGATGAATGCCCATGAGTCCATCACTGGATTGTCTGGTCCAGACTCCAGTGTATACAGACAGACGTTAGATAGCTGGAATATTGCTGGGGCCGGCTTTAAACAACAAACAAGCAAAACAGTAATCTTGAAATCCTTCTTTTCACAGGATTGTGGTTTTAATCTTTTCTTGTCAATTTAGCACGATTTCACTGTGAATTGCACTTGTTTTTTGTTTGTTTCATTGTTGTTTAACACTGGACTCGCAATCAGCCAAGTCACAGAGCCTGATCACCTGATCCATTTGGTTGCCTCTTATGGTCAGGCCACAGGCTTTCAATAAAGATGTCCAATTCTTTACTAAACAGCTTCTGAAGCTGACTGGTTCCACTGCTGACACTCTCCTGGAATACACTCAGAGGAACCTTCCAGAAGGAATGGCCATGAAAGTCACCAAAGTAAGCATTGCATACTTTGGCCGTGTTCCAATTTCAAGTTCACATCAATTCTTTGTTTAATCTGTACTTCATCATCCAGTGCATTATGCCTCCACTGTAAAACATCGCTGCTCCTGCTTCATGTTATATTTGATGTGAGTGATTTAGTGCCTAAAATAGCTGTTCCATCAATTTAATCATGATTACAGTTCCATCTTTGTGGAAACAATTTATGCTGTCGCTGGTATTGGACATGTCTTGTAACCATGGTTACTATTTGGTACACAATAAAACGAAGACTCTTTCCCCCTTCTCCCTCAAACTTTCATTTATGAGGCTCTTGCTTTGTAGTAAACACCATCATTTAATTTAAATACACTGGAGGCGATGAAGAATAGTCAGATGTTACATATAGTCGGGAACATAATATGGCAAACTATCGTGTAGATAGCGAGTTAGTCAGTGCAGAATAGATCTTGAAAAGTTGCCTCCCTTGTCAAAGGATCTGGCCTTTTGACTCATGTATTATGATTATCCTGATTATGATCCTTGCTCTGTCAGCACCATGCCTGTACCTGGTTGTCACGAATCACGCCAAGGTGGTAAACATCACTTTGGCCATCCTCCCACTCCCCATGATGTGGTGAACACCACTGTCATCAGCTGCAGTTGCAATGTCTGCATACATTTGTCCTTGGTTTGCAGGAACGCCTTGAGAGGTTGCCTGATCATCTTCAACACCCAATAGAAGGTTCCACATCATCAACAGAAAGTACAGACTTACCACCAGAAGCAAGTTGATGTGTGATAGTGCGTGATAAACTAGGGAATAAAATGCATTTATCATTCAGTCTTGTTCTTTATGATAGAGCCGTAGACAGTGCCCACAATGAATGATGGGCTGTCTGGAAAGGATGGAAATCCTGGAGCAAACAACTAGAAACATTGATATCATCACAATGTTCCCAATGTACACCGGACAACTGAAGCTGTAATTTGTAAATGTCCTGTACTTTGAGCAAGTGAGAAAAGGAAATAATGTGTGACGCTTTTGATAGGCAGAAGGTTTGATGAGAAACGTTTGTGTTATCTGAGTGAGTTACCATGTGACACAATTTCACTGCTTGTTGGCAGATAAAATGCTTGTTGGTTTCCACCAAGTGGTACAATACAGCAGCTGGATTTCCTCACATTTTCACCTGTTGGATCATGGTATGTCACGGACCGTGTGTTTGTGGGTGTTATTTAGGAGATAAACACTGTGTTTTCAATGTAGAGCTAGGTTACCTGTAAATTTAACCCCGCTAAATTGAATTTGGAACCGAACGCGCAAATGTTAAATTTAGCACGGTTAAATCTACAGGTAACCTAGCTCTACATTGAAAACACAGTATGTTTATCTCCATTCTACCATGACTAAATAAAACGCGAACTCTTTGGTGTTAGCAAATATACTGAGTGAAGCGGCATGGGTTGAGTTCAGTGTTTTGAGTGGGTTATCGATCTGAATTACGGAATCACCGAACAAAATATGGCGCTGTATATACTCAAGCAGTTTGTTTACACCGTAATACTTCACTCGAACATATTACAGGAATTGTAAGCATATAAGCACGGTAACTTGGTAAGCTTACATGAGGTGGGCATCCCTAAAGAAAACAAAGCAAGCTTTGCAAGGCTTTCGCTCTTCATCGCGCGTCACCATTATGACGTCATATCGCTCATTATGACGCAAAAGATATGACGTCACAGTCGTATATAGAAAAGCGCCAAAATTCCAAGCACTCTCCAAAATGTAAATACATTCCCTTTCTATCGTGTTTTCTGCACGAAATGTATTGCCGCACATCGTTTGAATATTGTAGTAACCACAAATGTGCATTTTGTAACCTGTCATTGTAGATAAAAATATTGAAATATGCCTACCGACAATGACTGAAAATAGTACTATCCTATAAATGTTAGCTTCCGCGGTGATGTGGCCATCAAACCGGCTGTTTCAATCAGAGGGGGTTTATTGTGATTTAATAGCCTCTGATCGACCAATCATATATATACTAGCCACATAAAGAAACTGTGCACGGAGAAAAAATATAGATATAAGGGCACACCGTCCATATATGAAATATAGGTTTGAACACAGCAATTATTGAAGACATTCAAACGCTCATGCACGTGCCATGCGATATGACGTCATTGATGGGGGCCTATGGACGTGCAATGTGTTACTGCACGTGCATCCTGTGCAGCTGTACACAGCATGTGCAACTCAAAATTCGCTGTCACTTTGGAAAGCATGATCTGTGGTCATTCAAAAATTCAAAACTTCTCAGGCGCAGACACAAGCATATCACAAGCAAATCATGCCAAGATTGACAGCTGCACAGCGTCATGAAGCAATTGGAATGATCCGAGCGGGAATGAGGCAACAACAGGTGGCAACACATTTCCAATGCCATCGTAACACGATATCGGCAGTGGTGAGGCGTTATCAGAACACAAATGACGTTACCGACCACCCACGTTCAGGACGTCCCCGAGTAACGACGCCAAGACAGGACAGATGGATTCGAGTGACACATCTCTGACATAGGTTCCAAACGGCAGTAACGACGTCCCAGACAATTCCTGGACTGTGCCGTATCCATCCCAACACTGTCAGGAATCGTCTACGTCAGTACGGGATTCAACCACGACGCCCTGCTATTCGTCCCATCCTGACACACTGTCATCGAGTCAACCGTCTAAGATGGTGTCCAAATCATGTTCTCCAACCTCGAATATTATGGAGAAATGTTGTCTTTACAGATGGAATCGAGGTTCAACATTTCCCACAGTGATGGGCGCCAACGTGTCTACCGGCGTTTGGGATAACGTTATGCACGCAACTGTATTGTGGAGAGGAATTGTTTTGGAGGTGGCTCTGTGATGATTTGGGGTGGGATAACAGCACCCCTTTGGTGGTTGTTTCAGGGCAATCTCACTGGTGTTGGCTAGAGAGATCAGATTCTGAGGCCTGTGGTCATTCCTTTCCTGCAATGTCATGGCCCGGGATTGACATTTCAACAGGACAACGCTCGTCCTCACACGGCTAGGGTCGCAATGGATTTCCTTCACCATAACAATGTCATGTTACTGCCATGGCCTGCAGTTTCTCCAGATCTCTCCCCAATAGAGCATGTGTGGTATGAAATGGAGCGCCGTCTGCGTCATCTTCCACATCCTCCAGATAACGTCCATGACTTGGCACAGGATTTGAGGAGGATATGGCAGGCCATTCTCCAGGCCTTCCATGCCCATTTGATGGACTCCATGCGTTGCCGATGCACTTCTGTGATTCACGCACAGGGTGGTCATACCCGTTTTTGACTTTGTGACTGTCATTTGACCCCCTACTCCATTTTGATCTTCTGACGTCATCATAACAGGTGTTGTTCAGGTCCCGTTGACATTTTCTTATGGTCCGATCATTCAGCTGCTACAGCGTCTGCATCATTTTGTTCTTGCTGTGTTGTATTTCAATCCAGAATATATTTTCTCCATGCACTGTTTCTTTATGTGGCTATTATATTTTTCGAACAGCATTGAAAACGCACCAGCAATAAATCTTGAAATATTACAAAAACAACTTGAGCAATGACCGATTTTGATTAGAACAGACAAAGACGGATTAAGAATTACGACAAAGGAAACAGGAATACCACACAGTAATTACAATTACATCATCAGTGTAAGACACATAGGGTTAAAATGAAAAGTCAATATCTGGTATGTCCGCCATTGACAGCAACACAGGCCATGCAACGTCTTCTCATTGATCGAATAAGTCTGCAAATAGAGTTCTGGGGCATTCCACTCTTGACGTAGTGTATCTTCAAGTTCTCTCAGGTTCTGTACTTGCGGTAACGTTCTCCACGTCGAAGCCACACTCACAGTCGACCGTCAGCATTCCGTAAATGAAAACAGGACTCATCAGAGAACAGCACACCATGCCACTGCTGCAATCTCCAATGACGATGCCTTTTGGCCCAACGCAGACGTTCATTTCGATGTCGATCAGTGAGTATGGGTCCAACATATGGACGTCGAGCACGTAGCCCTGCTGAGCGGAGACGTCGACGTACGGTGTCAGCACTGATCAATTCCGTCTGCCTTGTACGGTTGCTGCAGTCCTGGTAGCCGGAAGTGTACGATCACGAAGATGCCGACGAACAATATGGCGATCCTGAAATGGTGTAGTTACACGACGTTGACTCGGACGTGGTCGATCTCTAGTGGTTCTTGTCTGCTGGTATCTGCTCAGTAGCCCGAGGACTGTTGAATGATGGCATTGAAACCATTGTGCAACGACTCCACTTGACGTACCAACTTGAAGCATGCCCAAGGCACGTTCACGTTCCTCTGCTGTTAATCTTGGCATTTCTTGTGTCAGTACCCTTTACGTCTGCAGCAACAAGTGATGTGGCTTTTAAAAGTCTGTCTTTTATAGCCCTATTCGGCATGCTTCCCGTGAAACAAAACACGTTTTCCATGATGTGCACGCAATTTGTTGTGTTTTGGTGTTTCGCTAACAAAAAATTTGGGAATGTGTTTTGACGAGCTGTTCTTCATTATAATTCGTCCAGAGCGTCGTATATTACTCATTCACTTATATATTTTCATATGACTTAAGCCCTGATTAAAATACATCCATGTCCATGGTGGTGCGTTTTCAATGCTGGTCAGTAAATATATATATATTATGATTGGTACCAAGATAATGTAGTGTGAGACACAAACACACACGTCTCACACTACATTATCGTGGTACTAGAAAATCTCGTTATCCACACCCACTGGCGGCTGTTCACACGCCTGTACACACACACACACACACACACACACACACAATCGTGGTACCAGAAAATCTCCTTATCCACCCCCACTGGCGGCTCTTTACTTACCCAGTAAGCAAATCTCACCATATTTTATTGCATGGAGCAAGAGTAAAAGTGAATTAATTTAAGACACCAATTTTTGAACTCATTTAAGATCATGACCAGTAATATCATTTCTCGAACTTAAATACTTTTTATTCAAGTTTGTCCCCTTTGAGAAGCGGACAGAAAGACGGAAGGATGGACAGAAACTCTGTTCCTGTATCCTCCAGCCCACTTCGTGGCGGGGGATACCAGAAAAAAGATTCTGTAGAAAGGGGTCGGCTTTTCCAAGATACACTTTCATGATAGTATTTTTCAGATCTTGATCTGTCAGAAACATCGCCCAAATGACGGTCCAATAGATTACAACCTCCCAAAAGTTTGGAAGTTGCCACGACTACCTGTTCACTTCCTGGTTCGGCTTATCTATGGGTCATATCATGTTCTTTCATATTTCAATGGCCAAGTTAATACCTCGGTTTATCTACGGGGTCGGCTTATGTGTGGTCATATACGGTAATTAACTCCCACGATAACATAGCATACAATGTATTGTTTATATCTTTTTAAGCTAAATTCCAATGAAGAAAATACAGAAATTGCCAGTCAAGAACACTTAGTTTGGAATCCTAGATAAATCCGAAGGTTCCTCCTTGACTTTACAAATGTAATGGTGTGGACCTCCAGATGTAGGACAGATCTAGATCTCATCACTCTTATTGGCTGAGCTCATAAGTTGCTTGCGTACAAATACACATGAAAAAACGTCAAAACCCAAATAGTACCGGTACAACACTTTCCCAAAATGGCTTCAAATTGCATACCTATAATATCTTTGCACATCTTTATCATGTTTATTAACTGAATGAATGCAGGCATCACCTATTAATAAACTCTATTGCTGTTGCGCTTTTTAATGGGTGACACTTGG